TGGCAGAACCATACCTCTGAGCTGCAGAATGATCTAACTAGCAGCACAGAATGATTGGATAAGCAACTGAAAACATTTTGTTTTGGTTTAAGGTTTCTGTGTCTCAACAGAATTGGGATGTATTGGAAGTATTCAGGCTCATAGCCATTGAATTAATGGCTATGTTCAAGAATTTATACAGTTTCAAGATGAGTTTCCCTCTTTATTTTTTTAATTTTTGTTATTAACTACTTGTAGGTAAAGGAGAATTTTTTTTTCTAAGATGAACCGTAAGGTATACAGTGAAGCATTAATGTTAAAACCAGCATTCTTAAAAGCTGTCCTTATGTGGTGGTTGAGACCCTCAGTGATGGACACTTAAGTGTTTGTTATGATTTTTTGAGGGATTTTTTTTTTCTGAGAGCAGTGCCATTTACAGGTCATTCTCGAAAGATTATAGTTGCTGAGAAAAACCTCCTTGAAGGCTCTTTGAATGAAGAGGTGACATTCTGCGTTTTCAGAAATAGCTGGGTTTGAAAACTCTTGTGAACACAGAGTTCTCTTTCATGGTTCTGAGAATCACATTTCAGAGAAAATCTTTCTGACCAGTAAAATTCTTCTGCTTGGGGAAGGATAGGAGCATAACTTGTTTAGCGAATATTAATCTAGTCAGGCTTTCCAAGTCCATTGTAATTTCATTAGGTTTTTATTTAACGATCATCACCTTTAAAGCAGTTTGATTCTAAACAGTTTGTCAAAGGATTTGCTTACCACTGCCCTTTGGGTTTTCTTTAATTTTGTTTATTTGGGGGGCATTTAGACTATTGCTGCAACTGAGCATGTCCTGAAGGTTGTGATTGAGTAACACTTTATAATGTTCCAAATTCCTTCTAACTTTTTTCTCATCTCTAATTTATGATTCCCACAAAAATAATACATAATCAAGACAGAGAATGTCTTTTAGAGAACCTCTTCCACTGCTCTTAGGAATAAAACAGTATACTTACAATCCTCCTAACAGCAATAATAAAGGATGTCTATGGCCAGTTCTGGATTTGAGAGAGCTGAGTATTTTCAATATTTTATTAGTGTTGTTTGATAATCACAAATAAATAATGTAAAAAATAGCTGCTCTCTCTCATAGCTATTAGTCTTGCTCACAAGAGAGATGTTGTTACAAACAGTTGTTAGCACCAATACAGAATTCTGCCATAATCAGTAAAACTTCTCCCCATCCTCTTGGTGAGTGTTTGGCAGTATGGGAAAAACACGAAGTCCAAGCTCAAAGATCATGAAGTCCAGCATCTCAGAGATGAGACGCCATTTAGTTCTGTGTTGGGACTTGAAAAAGTCAATATCTGTTAATTGGAGGACTAACTACTAAGAGGTTGAAAAGTCTGTGCTGAAGAGTATTTCTACTAGAGAATATGAAGCTTAGCTATAAATAAGCTCATGTTTGTGAAATTTTTATAACAACACTCCTTTCCTTGCATTGTTTTTAAAAGTAGCTGTCATGGTTTAACCCCGTGGACAAGAAGCACCGCACAGCTGCTCACTCACTCCCCCCAGTGGGATGGGGGAGAGAATCGGAAGGTGTAAAAGTGAGAAGACTTATGGGTTGAAATAAACACAGTTTAATAGGTAAAGCAGAAGCCGTGCACGCAAGCAAAGCAGAACAAGGAATTCATTCACTACTTCCCATTGGCAGGCAGGTGTTCGGCCATCTCCAGGAAAGCCAGGCTCCATCACATGTAATGGTTACTTGGGAAGACAAACACCATGACTCCAAATGTCCCCCTTTGCAGGGGAACGAGAAGATGCTGAATTAGGATTTGTCTTCTGGGACATGAAGCTTTTCCCTTAAAAGAATGGAAGAAGAAGGCTTTGCCCTTAAGGAAAATGGAAGAGGAGGTGATGGAGGACCTGACATGGCCGGAAGGAGAACCAGTTGGAACGTAAACAAGGGAACGAATCTGCTAGAAAGTAGTGGGGTTTTTTTTGTTAATAGCCAATAAAAAAGTTTTTTAGATGGCGTATTCACAGTAGTAAAAGACTATAAAATTAGTTGTAAAAGAGCAATAAAGTGATTCTTCTTCACCACCTACCGGAGTTTGCTCTTTGATTCTGCTGCACCCCCTTCCTCCGTCTTCCTTCAGTTTTATAAGCTGAGCATGACATCCTACGATATGGAATATCCCTTTGGCCGGTTGGGGTCAGCTGTCCCAGCTGTGTCCCCTCCCAACTTCCTGTGCACCCCCAGCCTACTCACTGGAGGCGTGGGTGAGAAGCAGAAAAGGCCTTGACTCTGTGTGAGCCCTGCTCAGTGATAACAGAAATATCCCTGTGTGAGCAACACTGTTTCCAGCACAAATCCAAAACATAGCCCCTTACCATCTACTATGAAGAAAATTAATTCTATCCCAGCCAAAACCAGCACAGGAGCTTTGACTATTAAGGTTCTCACAATTAGAAAACAATACCCTTCCTAGAAATAGGGGGTGAGGCAAGAAGATAGATCCCTGTCAATCTCCTAATTGTCCTGTACTTTAGCTTATGGACCAGAAGTCTGTTCTACACCACTTCACCACTTGAGTGTTTCCTGTTTTGTCCTGCGGCCGTATGCTGCTTTTTCATCCTCTGTTTCTTGTTTCTTCACCAGGTTCATCTGTAAGATCCAAAAATAAGTGTGTCTAAGCTCCAAGGCTCATCTCGCAACAATCTTTAGAGCTATGGGAAAGTATGGGAGACTTCGGATGGCTTAAGATGATGTAAATTTCTGCTGCTGTGGAGAGATGTGATCTACAGTTCCCCTTCACCACTGGTACAGCCGTAGTATTTGCATGGTGATATAGCAAGTGCAAGTCATTCTTTGGGCTGAGAACTAACGTGGACAAAAATAAAACTTTGCTGCTGGCTGTGAAGTCCCAGATGTACCAGTGCTGGCAGCAGGGAGAGAGGCTGGAAGCTCAGGCCAAGAGATCAATTAGGGCTAGCCCTTTTAGTGACAGAATTGTTTTGAATAGGGTAGTAATGAGTCTGCAACATTAAAAATGAAAGACCTTTCTTCCATGTTAAGACTGTGGACAAAGTACTATGGAGGCTTGGAGAAGTCAGATCTCTTCATCTTTAATTTACTGAGTTTGTGGCAAAAATATTAATGTGTTGATAGTTAATTTAAAGTAATTTTATGGCAGAGAACATTAAAGAGAATCTTTAATTATAATTTTGCCACAGTGCCACAGGTATGATAGGTAAATTTTTTTTTTTTATTCTTCATGTCTGAGTCAATTTCTGTAAAAGTTATTTTCCAGATTTTGCTTCCTGTGCAAGTTCAGTAATTGACTGCAATCTTTTACTAGATGAACAATAAATTAAGCTTTTCTTTTCACTGTACTATATTGTTCATTTCCATGTGTTGCTGAGTTGGTGCAACACAGCTATAGCAGTAATAATTTGTGTTCAGTATTCTTGGAAAATGCTAATTCTGCAGGCCAAAACACTAGGAGTTTTAGAAAAGCATAAAATAAAGTTAAAGTAGCCATGGGCTCTGTTACTGGATATGACTAAAATTTAGAAGGTCATAATTATACTTTGTTACAGACCTGGCTTTTCTGATGGGAAAATTATAATGATGTAGTGTAGTTTCTTTCTGAAAAATAATGTAGAAAATGCTAGAGACAGTGATTGCAGAATGGAAGATGTTACTGCTGTTTCAAAAGACTGACACAGGGGAACATGTGTTCTCCATAACAGTGGTTTAAACTGCTCAAAATAAGCTTTCTTGAGCATAGCTATTTAAAATAGACATTCAGTGAAGTAAAATTTTAAAATTAGGTAATAGTTTATTGTGTCCTTGAAAATATCTGGACAGTAGACCTATATGGAGGCAGTCAGAAGATTTTGCAGCTCAAACTGCTTTCAAAATATTGGGGATTTTTTGTAGTTGCAAGCAACTCTTGTTTCTGTAGCTAAAAAAATAGTGCATTTTTGAGTTGGACAGTGTTCCAGGTGAGACATCAGGAGGTCTCTAGTCCAAAACCACACTCAGAGCAGGATCAACTCTGAGATCAGACTAGAATTTCAGCATTTTACTTAAATTACTCTTAATTTTTTGTAAGTTATCATCATATGCACAATATTTCTGGTACATCAAATTGTCTTGAAGCAGTAAGGTCTTCTGAAATAACTCTGCAAAAAGTATATCTGCCTTACCCAAAGGTGTGTCGGTCTTACTAAATAGTTCTCTAGTTTGCTTTTAAAAATGTTAAACTTTTTTTTTTTTTTCAGTGAAGCGGTACTAATTTCTGGCACTGTGTGTGTAAACAATGCAATACTTTCTTACTAATATTTTGTTCTAAAGAAGAAAACATCTGATAAAATACATTGGCTGTCTGGAAAATATTCAAGTGCTCTGTGAATAGGGATTGCGCTGCAGCTCACTGTGTGCAGAAGTGGGTTAATGAGAGTGTTCCTGCAAGGGTGCTGACATTTGTTAGATCTTTTAAGGAGATAATGCTTTTCAACATAAGCTTCAGTCCCATATGTTTTATGTGTATGACTGTCATCTTTTGTCTTAATTTAACTAATGATGCAGCATGCTGGTGGGTGATTAAGTTCTGTGGTGGCTAAGTATTTCTATAGTCTTCCCTATGGAAGCTATCAGGGTTTAGTATAGGACTATGCACACTTCCAAGGCCTGTGGTTCTTGCCCTAGTCAAAAGAGATCTCTCTTTCCAATTATAAGAGGAAAATGAGCTTTAAAATGAGGTACATTTTAATTTTCATAGTTGCTTGAGAAAGTTGAGAGGTGACTGGGGTAGGAGATAATTCCTAGAAGTTCTAGCAAAGTTAAAGAGTGGAAACCAACTAGCACAGCTTGTCTACATATGTAACTACTTTCATTAGCATTTTATGTTCTTGTATGGTTACACAGCACCATTCCTGTGTGTCAAATAAATAAATCTTTTATACTCTAAAAAAAATATACTGACAGCAGTTGTTTTTATGTTCATACAGGAAAATGTGTGTTGGTATTAAACATCTTTATAACTTTGCCTGCAATGAGAAGGCTGTATAACCCGAGTGCCTTGTAAGGTTGAAACAAAGCAAATTTAGTGTACAGACAAATCCTTTACTTTAAGAGTGCTGTCTTGGTTTGTAGAAGAAGTAGATACTACGGTGTTTTTAATACAGCTTTTGTCAGGAAAATCAAGAGTTTATGGTGCTTCATAATTTGTGTATGTTCCTTTTAAGTAATTCCTAGTAAATATTTGTAAATCGATACCCAAACAAACAAGGTATACATCTGAATACTTCATCCTGCATTAACAGAATAGTGTCTGTTAAATCTTACACAATTCTTCTTATGAGGATTTGGACTTTTTATGCTGTAACTACAGTACTGATGGCAAAACAGTATCTTTTTTTAAACATGTATATTTTCTGCCTTCCAAGTAACGCCTCCTATTAATTACAAAATTGACCTTCAAGCACTCCTGTTAAAACTAAAAATCAGCAAGAGGTTAGAAGTTAGACTTTTCCCCCTTTGATTTGCATTAACAAAATTGGTTCTGTTCCAATTTTTAAGATGTTAATTATGTCCCTGCAGATGTCATGGTCAGTAAAACACTTCTGTTCTCACAGGGACTTTATTACATTGTTGCTCTTTGGGAAAGCAGAGGAAGAAAAATAGAAAGTCTCTATGCCAGTTGAGTAAAAAGATACAGAACCTCACAAATAGAAAATACATTATTACTTTTACAGAATAACTAAACTTTAAATTCTGCAGGGATTTCACCTTCAGACAACTATGAGCATACTCTAGCTTATGTGAACCATATTTTCCCCAAGATATTTCTACTTATGAGGCTATAGAGGCTAAGCATCTTCTTTCCTTTCTTTGACAGGAAATTCTGGTGGTTAAAGATCATGGCAACCATAGAGGAACTGGCCCATCAAATTATTGAACAGCAAATGGGAGAGGTACATAAGTTTTGAGTCCTATTTAAGAGACATTGAATAATAAAATATACAGACTGATATGTAAAAACCAAAATCACAAGAGAAAATAGTTTTTAGTACACCCAAAGCTTCTGGAGACTCTCCCATGGAAGACTAGAACTTGTCCATTTTAAAGTTATGCTGCAAAGTCTGTTTTGCCAAAGTTTGCAAATACAGAAATGAAGCTAAGGAAAATCTAACAGTGTTTCCAGTAAGTGACTACCTTTTCAGCTCTGCTTTTTGGGCCTGTAGTTGTCTTCAGAGAGCCATCTGGTTGTATAATTGCTTTACTCACTTTCGGTTACAAAATTTACAATCAAGAGAGTTGTCAGTACCTAACATTTACTTTCCAATTAAGCAATTGCTTCAGTTGTAATTTTTGTTTTCACTAGTAAAGGTTTGCCATGCTCTTCACTGTAAAATATTTGTTGGTGTTTGGTATAAGTCAAAAGGAAGATTGAACTCTTGTTTCTGCTAACTTCTGGTTTTCATTTTCTGTAACCTGTGTGCAGAGTCTGTGTACTGCAGCCAGAGAACTTCCAGAGATGCACAGATAGTTTGGGAGTGTGGATAAAAGTATACATACTTCTCTAGAAGGTTTTGTCATATCACAGTCTATTTAAAATTAGCACCACTTTAAATTAGATAGGAGCAATAACTTATTTATCTTAAATAAATGGTATTTTTTAGCTTGAAGTATCCACTCTTGTTTTCTTGTCTAGACAGAGACTTGCTTTTCAAGTAATTTTAGTTCCTCTCCATCTTGATTTCAAGTAAAAAAGTTGGAGGGAGGGGTGGTTAATTGTGTTCTGTATAAATTCTTACAGCTTTTATTGTTGTAGCATCTGATTGTTGCTAAGGCTATCTAAAAGGACATAAGTGATTTATGTGATGTATGGTGTTTTGTTTCTTTCACTTGTCCTCTTTATAGGTAAGAATGGCATGTCTAATGTAGTTTGGTTTTGGTAATATAATTCCTTGTGGAGGTCTAAATAGGGCTGTGTTTCCTATGTAATTTTTTTTTTTTTTTTAAGTACAGGCTAGTCAAAGTTAGCTGAAGTGTGTGTTCCACTCAGAAAAGAGGATGGTGTGATGATGGTGTTTTGCCTCCGTGAGGGTTGTTTATTAGTTTAGTATCTTCTCATGACTTAGTGTCTCAGTGCCATGGAGAGGGAAGGTTCTTTTTCTGTTTCTTACCTTATTTAACATCCACACTAGCAGCAAGCTAACCCAACCAAAAAAAGTGGAAGGTTTTCCGCTGGGTTAGTGTGTTGAATAAGGTCTGAAAACGCTCTAATGAGTGCCAGAGCCAGCGTAAAGGAGATGGCTGGTAGCCAGAGGAAGTCGGGGGACAATGCGCAGCAAGTGGAGGTGTGGCACTGCAGAGAGCTGTTGCCTGTTCCTGTTCATGGTGACACTGCAGCCTTAACAGTTTTCATCTATTTCTTTCTCTCAGCAGTGCCCTTTAGCAGGGTTTTACTGAGCCTGAGACCATCACATCTTGTTTGGCAGCAGTGTGGCTTAAGCATTCCCCAGTCCTCAGTTAGCCACTTATTCTCACGCTATGCTCATCTGGCTCATGTTTGTCATTGTGTGATAGACAAAACTGGAAAAAAAAATTTACAGGAGAGTGGAGGAACTTCCTCCCAGTTGGGGTTAGTTCCCTTATCTGGTACAAGGTGCAGCCCAACTTGGCACATGGTTAGACGGACTGAAAAGCATCTCCCAGGGCAGTGCAAGGTGGGACTCTAAGCCAAAATTACTGTCAAAGGTGCATGCCATGCATGAGTTCACTGCCTGAAAGGTGTAGTCAGCAAAGAAAGTGGTCTTACAGCCGCCTTCATGTAGTATCTTACATTCCTACCTACTGGCTGTTATAGCTTGGTGCTGTTCCTATTTGATGTAAGCATTGAAAGCATTTTTTCTAGCATTTGTAATTCTCTTGAGTGTTGAAATAGTTAAATGGAATTTACAAGAAAAATTTACATGAGTAGAACAAGAAAGGAAAACCACAGTTGTTCCCATTCTGAGGAGAATGGAAAGGGCTCCTGTGTCTCATTGAAATAATGGTCAGAAGTGTTCCGTGACATAAGTTTTAATCTCTTTATAATATTAATTCTTGTTCATGAAGCATTTTAAAACACAAAATTATCACAAGCAATTTTGTGATGTTCACAAACGTGTTTTTGTTAACAAAAATTGTTCTTTGCATAAAAGCAAAACTTATTTAAAAAAAAAAGAATTTGTACCATGCCAGTATGGAGCACTGCACAATGGTTATCTTTTCTCACATTCTGCCAACTGGTAATCATGTTTTGCTGAGTGTGAGATAATTCATATTTCTACATCAAGATCACATTCTTTGATTCATGTAGGGAAGTTGTCAAGAGCCTGCAGCAACCTACTTTCTTTAATCTGTGGTGTGGTACACTGAGTATATGGTGGTTTGTTTCCACAGTCCTGCCAGGTAACAGTAACAGAGGAAAGCTATGTATTTGTTGAAAAAGAGTCTGTCATACACATACAAAACATATTTTTTAACAAATATTGCAATTATTCTTATCAGCATTTTTTTACCTGCGGTAAAAAACCTATTCTTTATAGAAGTAAAACTGTAAAGCTGACATTTTGTGGGGTTGGAGAGTAGTTTTACCTTACACAACATGTAGATCATGACATTTTAAGGGAGCAAATGTAAAACAGTCCTGGAATATGTAGCTTGTTTTGTAAAGCAAAGATAAATTCACTTAAAACACCAATTGCCTGTAAATTACAATGTGTACATGTCATTTTAAAGACTGATGCAGAATTTTAGTGCTTGAAAGTATCTCTTTCAAACTGTAAATGTTGCTGTAAAATTAACACTTCTTTGTCCTTTACTTAAGCAAAGAAGTGGATTAATTGTTTGAATATGGAAAGTATTCATACTCATGAAAAATCGGGTATTTTTAGAAAGCAGTGTTCGAAAGTGGCTTGGGCAGTAGTTTGACTAGCATTTATTTTGATGCTGCTGGCAGCTGAAGCAATCTCCCCAGTGGCTTAATCCCACTCTCTCATTTGCTCTGATGCGTCTGCTTCTGAGCATTGGGGAAATCTGGATTGAAGGTTTGATCTGTGCTAAGAATAGCCTTTGTCTGTCCGTCTGTTTGCTGGGCTGCTTTTTAACCTGCATCAGTGTCCTATTCCAGATCACTGAATGACTATCCAACCAATTTCACCTACCAAACTGAAGGGATAGGAGCAAGTAGGTTATAAGAGCTGAGACTGGTTCCAAAAGTAATGCCTTTTCTGGTAAAATTTCAAAATCATCTTAGGCTGATGGGACCTTGTAATTCTGCTGTAAGGGGAAGTCTGACCCCACTGTTCCTACCTCTCCTCATACTCACCTCCAGCTGTGTGTTGTTGCCTCCTTTCTTCTGTTGGTACTGGCATTTATATGGTGGTGTGGTTGCAAAATCAGGAAGCTGATCCAGGAGGAATGAAAAAGCTCTCAGCCTGTTATGAAACAGTACCTTTACTGTGATACATATTCTCTATATTGATTCAGAGGGGGGGCACGGACGACAGTTGAAAAGGGCCATTTTTATAATGGTGTAAATACTGGAAATTATTAATACAGAACTGCAAGACGTTCCGGAGTTTTTGAACTGCAAGAACTTCAGGGAGTTACTTGGGATTTTAAGACAAAAGTTTCACTTTGATGGTATTTGTAAACTCTGTGAAGACAAACTTCCTTTGTAGTGCAAGAAGTCCAGCCTTTCTGATCAAGCCTCTGTAGATAGCAGCTGTACTTCGTAATTTTTATTGACAAATAATGAGTAGTACCTTCTCCCATATAACTTTGACTATAGCATGTGAAGAATTTTTGAAGTATTGATAACTGTTAAAACACTTCCAAGAATTGGGTTTGAGGGCATCCACACAGAGATTTAAATTTAAGGTACACTACTTGCCAACTTCATGCATTTAATTAATTTTCTTTCTTGATAGTTCCCCAGTATAGAATTCTGTTCTGTTTTTGCTACTTTAGCAGAAAAACAAAGCAGAAAAAGCCAATTGCTGTGTTTCCTCACCAAAAATTCTTTTGCCAGTTTAAGTAAGCCATTAAGGTAAAAGTATTTTAGTGTAAATGTAGCACAGCTATGATGAAAGGTATTGTGTCTCATGAACAGCAACAGTAATAAATATTCAGTCTGATTGGCTTACATGGACTCATCAACAATGAGTTGTTTTACTTAACGTGTTTCTGAATTTCACATTAGAAGATATTTCAAAATGGGTTTAAAACAGTGAAGCAAACAATTTTCTAACTAGCCAAATGGAGCTATTAAATCAGATTACAAGCATTTGCATTCTTTATACAGTAAGAGTGTCAGACTTTCCAGCTGTGCAGAGAAATCAGAAGTTGGTGAACCTTAAGGTTTCATCCCTTAAGGTGTCTGTGTCTGTCCTTCAGTTACTATATCCATTGTCAATCCATTACATTGTTTCTTCTTTCTAGATTACCCGTTCCCAGGGAGCTGTTACGCAAACACTAATGGATGGGACACCACAACGAATACAGATTGTCCCTGCAGATTCAGGCCTCTCTTTACCACAACGTATACAGGTATGCTTCATCTGATGTATTTTAAAAGCAGATAAGAACTATTAATTTCTGCCAGTTTTTACTGGTTCTTTTTTTTTTTTTTTGCATCTTATTTTTGGTTCTTTTTTATTTGCATCTTATTATTTGCTTGAATGTAAATATTCAGCCCTGGGTGGCAGAGACCATTTCTGTATAAACAGGAATAAAACATAATTCCAGTGCTTCCCCCTTTTTAATTTTTTTTTTTCTCCTAAGAATTTTAAGATTAGAAAAAATTATAACCACTGAACAGAAGAAACCTTCTCCCAATGCTGTAATGATATTGCTCTTTAAAAGCTGAGTAATTAATAGATCTGGTAATTCAACTGGGTTGTTGAAATATTTTATATTTTGGAGTAGGAAGAGAGAAATACTGCATTGTATCATTGATGTAAGTCATGAAAAAGTGCAAGGCAACCTAATGTCTGAGAAGGCTACTGGTTTTTGGTTGTCCCAACCAATGTTTTATGTCCTGGAGTGCTAATTCATAGCCTGGCCAGGTCATAATCTCCAGTTCAAGTGAGGTATGAAGTTTTTGGCGATGTAGGTAGTTAAATCAACGTAGGTACATGTGTATGTAGATTAGGAGTATTTGGGGCATGGAATTATGTATTTTATTACTTAAAAGTCAATGCAAGTCCTTGCAAGCATTTTGTATTTATATTTGTAAATTTCATCCTAGAGAAAAATAGCAACTGCAGAATAAGTTTTTTAAATATTCTCAGATACATGTTGTTGCATACAAAAGCACTAATTTAAGCAAGCCAGCTGCTAGTATAGTCTTGGCTGCTTTTTCTTTTGCTGGCTTCACTCTTCAACATTTTCCACATTTTTTTTTCCTGTTTCAGTGCATTGCGTTCAAGCTTTCAACCTTCCGAGACTCTTCACAATACTGATCTTTTGTTTTGTTTTATCACCTGTGCTCTAGTCATCATACCAGTCTTATCTATCCAGTAGATCTTTATTCTTTCAGTTGCCTCCACTCCTTTTCTACACTTTGTGTGCAGCTGTACCTTTTATTAACTAATTTATGTTAAACAGTTAACCACCATCTCTTTATCCTCTTCATTGTCAATACCTGTATGCTATAATGTCCCTGTAATGGGAAGCCATTTAGTGTAATTTTATCATCAGGGTCTGAATGTGGGATGACAACATAGAAACCCCTGGACCTTATTGTTGAACAGCAGAATGGTTCTGTTGGTTCAAAGCCAGTGGCAGTTGGTTCTAATCCTTCAGTGTCAGCTTTTCTGGTGGGGGGAGAACTAATTTTGATTAGGCACTGTAATTACTGCAAATTTGATGAACATAGAACTGTATTTCTAGGGACAGGGACCTTTATATAGTTTTTAATTGTCTCGTAGCTGGAAGATCACTTGTTTCTAACCCAACTACTTTGTCCCTTGTGTTTTTTCACCACTCTCATTGATTCTTGCTTCAAAATGGATGGTAAGCACTTCGGGGCAGTGGCTGTCTCTTGATATATGTGGAGCAACACTCAGTCCGAATTTTTTTAATAGGAACACAGAATTATTGAGGCATTTAATTTATTAAAATGATGTTCAAATGGAACTCAAAACTTGTTAACGGACAAGCCTTAAAAGCAATAAAGGAAACACTGTCCTCCATTATCATCAGGGTGCTTAAATGAAATACATGGGGGAAGTGTATTTTTTAAGCAGACAATCCTGAATTAATATATTCCTGTTTTATAACATTATCCTTTTAGTGATATTGAGTTTCAGATTGTTTTGTTAAGGAACATAATGTGTTGTTACTGAGCCCTGATGGATTCCCTTCGGAAGATTAGTGGGTTTCTTTTTCCTCAGATGACTTTTTTTTCTTCTCAGCATTTAGGTACTGCAAGTTATTGTACTTTGGTGGACGATTTTCAAAGTCCCATTGTGATTTAGGTGGAGTTTTTGCAGGTATACTGCCATGAGAGGTCAGCTGCAGACAGACTGTGCTTAATTGTTTTAACTACTTTCTCTTATGCCTCTGTCAGTTGTCAAATGCTTGACAGCTGCAGAAACCATTTGTGGAGATTGAATAGCTTTATATGGATACTAACATAACACTGTACCTACCATATAATGCAGTGAAAACTACATGGGCATCCTGCTAGAATTACAGAAAGCCACTTCAAGAATTGGGACACTATTTGTTAAATAGGAGGTGACGTGAATTGTGTAAAGTAGCGATGTTCTTCTGCCTGCTGTCCTGCCGTATTTTTCTACAAGTATATACCTTTTAAAAATGCAAAGCTAGACTGTAATATGAAAGCAGATGATTTAGCATATATATCCAAAAAATACTTTCAACTTTAGTTCAAATTTGTATCTTCACTGTTTGAGTCAGTTTTATGCTGTATTTTGTATAAAGCTAACTAGATAAAGTATATGCCTTTTTTGATGTACAAACATTTGCACTTTTAAGTTTTGACAGGGAGACAGATTTTAGATAAGAGTATTTTTCAAAGAGCAGCTCCTGCAATACAAGAAACAGCACAGTAGTCTATGTTTGGCTTTTGTACATGTATCATGCTGTTGCGGATAATATGCATGGGATTTTTTCTAATCCCGGTAAAGTAGATGTGTTTGGAGAGAAGTGGAAGGGAACATCATCTACTTTGAAAATAGCCAGAAATGACACAAGACAAATAAAGATTGTAAAATGAAGATAAACAGAATGGAAGGTTAACCAAAGAAGGGAATTAAAAGGGCAAGGAAGTTTGCCTTCTGAAGAATATAGAACCAACATAAAGGAATTGAAAGGAGAAATGAGGGACTGCTATAGTTATTTGTGGTCCCAGACATAGGCATATCAGAGAAAACTGGAAGGAAAACCCTGTATTAATAATGTTGATAACTACTGTAGGGTTTTTGCATTGTCTTCCCACCCTGCTCTCTAGATCTCCATTTATGTTCTTTTTGTATATATTTAGCCTCTGGAGTTTTATCATCTTACCTGGACTTCTCTCTTAAATAAGCTTTTAATTTTGTTTTGCAATTAAAAAAATTGAGATTTGAGAGATTATAATGTTAATAGCAAAAGGCCACCTGAAGGAAACATCCCTTTTGTATATTTTGAAACTCATGATTTCTGAATATTTGAAACTGGCAATACTGATTTATTTCCGCTGAAATTAGGTACTCAAAAATTTATATTTCTCACTCCTTCTGTTTTTAAAGCATAATCTATACACAGGTTTTTGAAACAAATTTAAATATATTGAAGGTGAATTTAAATATTATGAAGGTGCAATAGCGAAGTCGATAAAGACTTGTGTGAAATTCAGTTTCTTTGTGCCCCTGTTCTTCATCTAGAAAATATAATTAATATTGCTGCCCTAATTACATGGAACTAATTATGTTAAGTGTTAGATCATGAAATAAATAATTTCATCAGTAATAAGGACCATATAAATGTTAGGAATGGATAGATGGACATTAATATTTGGTTACAGGTTAAAAAAAATTATTTGAAGTTATTTTATTGATCTGTAATTCAAAAATAGTTTGCAGGAAACAGTCTTTGTAGGATGGTTCTCCTTAGTCTCCAGAATAAACAAGGCAGTTTTCCAGGTAGACATTTTGATGGAGAAAGGCAGAAAGTGACTAAAAATTAGATTTGTAATGGAAGATATAGGGAATCTTTATTATTTTCTCTGAGGATTGTAATCTTCTGACAAAGTTGGCAAAAAATAGTTTAGTGGAGGATTATTTAATAAAGTTCTGGTGTATTTGTGCAAATGGAAAGAACAGTCGGTAGGTCTATTCTTGATTGTGAAATGAAACATGAAAATAAGTTTTTCCTTTAAAAAAAAAAAAAAAGAAAAAATGTCAAGGAGAGAGTTTGTTTTATTTTATTTGGGAATATATATGTAAAAGAAAAAAAAGCCCCCCCAAAAATTAAGCCTAAAATGTATATACAGGTGCATGCAACAAGATTAATGCTTTTCTTGCTGTTTAATGCTTACTTTTTTCATGTGGAAGTCTAATTTGTGGCTTTAGGAACGTTCTTGTTAAACAGCCAAATCTGGGAGGTGCTAAGCACTTCACATGGTATGCAGTCAGTCAAGAGTTAAGATTTCTTATAAGCTGACGGGTCCTAGGGCTCAGCCACAGAAATACATGGAATTCGGGGTGCTAGAATTGTCAAGGGTTTCAGTAGTGTTGTAAAAGCACAGGCCAATTGTAAAACTTGGGTATGAATTCAGGTTAACTTCAAACACACTTGGTTGGAGCATGTTTCAAATACAGTGAAAATCCAGGTTTCACCTGAGTTTACTTCACTCTTGTGTGAGAGAGGGGAGACGATCCTGCTTCGCAAATGTCAAAGACAAAATTCACATTTTCTTCAAGTGCCCAGATTGGGCCCCAAAAGGTGAACTTACATTACAATTTGAGATAAATGTATTATTAGATTGTCACAGATCAGCAGACGGGCCAGAAGATTCAGATTGTTACAGCACTTGATCAGAGCTCAGCAGGCAAGCAGTTCATCTTAACAAATCATGATGGCTCTACCCCAAGCAAGGTGATCCTTGCCAGACAAGATTCCACTCCAGGAAAAGTTATCCTAGCAACTCCAGATGCTGCAGGTGTCAACCAACTGTTTTTTGCATCCCCTGATATATCTGCACAACACATCCAGGTAGATAATCCACTTTATTTCATAATTTTGGTTCAAATGGGAAAAGAAGAGATGTATTATTTCCAAATATGTCTGTCTGGGTTCTCCTTTTTAAAGTTTTTTTTAAATGGTGTACTTTTCCTTGCATTAGGACTCAGTATGGATACTTTAAAATTATGAAGAAAACTTTTCTCTTTTTTTTGGTAAATTCATTACTTTTAAAATTTATATCCTGGCTCATGAGACTAGAAAGAATACTATTATTTTTATTGTCTTTTCCAGCTCCTGCCATACCAACAGTCCTTTATTTCTGCTTCATTAATTCTCTATATGTTTTCATATGTTGTTGAAAACATACCCTTTTCTCCCTTGTCTTTGTCATTTAACATTTCCTTCTGCTTGTTCTCTTTTTCATAAGCTGTTGTAACTATTTTTCAGCTGTGTGAATTGTTTCCATGGTCATTTCTCCAAGACTATGTAGTAGGGAAGTGCATTACTCAGTGGGGGTAGGAAAATAATGCTAATGGGTTTGGGTTTACTAATGTGAGACTGGAACTAGTCAGGGTTGTAGCTCCCTAAACTGGTCCCTGGTGCACCTTACTCCCACACACATCGTATGTGCTGCTTCCTTCGTCCTTACCCTCCAACTTCCAAGCTTTCTGCCCCGTGTCCTCATGTGGCAAGGATGGGATGGCACTGATGTGAATTGTGTGAAGAACATGCGTAGGAGACCTGGGAGATGTGAGCTCCTTCAGGATGAAGTAGATTACTGCTCTCCACCTAAAGCATAATTACTGCATATAGTTTACCCATGTACTTTTACGCTGCTGTTAAAATACATCAGTGTGATAGGCCAGGCAACATTAGGATGGCTACAGTCCATTTAGTCCAGTATCTTACACTTAAACGATAGCCAGAAACAGTTGCTTAAGGAAGAATATTAAAAACTGGACAAATAAATAATGATTCTTCTGAGCATATCCTTTCATTTCCCAGAGTTGATGGTTTAGAGCAACCTCCTGATTTGAAGATGGCAGTGAGACCATCATATTTGATAACTGCTACTAAAGTTTAATAACCTTTTTTGTTATTTATATAGACTATATATCCTTTGGTCTGTATAATATCCTACAGTATAATTGTATGTTGTGCAAAGAATACTTTAGTTGATTTGATCTTCTGAGAGAACTACTTGATTAGGTGTCTTTTGCACTATAAGAAGCAGCTATAAAGGATTCTATTGTTTTTATAAATCACTATTATATCCTCTTTCAAGTAATCTCTTTTCAGCTGAAGACTCCTGATCTTTTCAGTTTGTGCTCTTCTGGAAGCTAGTGCACTACTCTGATTCACAGGTTGTACAAGCTTGAAACTTATCTCTATATTATGTATTATGTTTTGGTTTGTTTTTTTTTTTTTTAACTCAGATCTTTGCAAATGGACATCCAGGTCCTTGCTCCAAATAATTTGATTGCTCTGAATAGGGGAGCAGTAACGAAAGTCAATCCTGTTGAGAGGCATTTAAGCATGTTTAGTGGTATCATACATTTGTATTTTAATGAAAACCTCAATGAAAGCATGAACCAGATGAGAAGTGCAACATGCTGGTTTATAGAGCATAAAAGTCTGGACAAAAAATTAGAAGCTCTAATTCTCGTTGTGCAGTTTGGACAAAATAGGTTAGACAACAGAGTATTCTGTCACTTTAGATAAGATTTTTCTGTTGTCAGTTAATATGTTCAGGTAGAGATTTTTTTTCCTCACTTAAACTTGGTGAAATACAGAGTACCATTCATTTGTTGTCCTAGCAACTCCAGGATCTTCTGTATTTTCTCCCCTAAATTATCTTTTCATCTGCAATTTCATCTTTTTTGTTGTTCTTCTGTAGCCTTCACTTGAAATGCCCATTCATTTCCTCCGCAAAAACCTTCTCCTGTATTGTATCTTATCTTTACATTGACTCATTTGGCAAGGCTCTTTTTCTCATCATCTGTTTTACCTTCAGTGATTCTTCTTCATCTTAATAATAAATTTTTATTCTTCATGTTCAACGTTAGTTGATGAGTTCTCTGAGTCTGGGATCCCCTCATGGGCCAAATTCTGTAGTCCTTCCTCATGTGGAACTTCCCATTTCAGTGCAGGTTTAATTTATGGAAGGACTTTGAATTTGTTTATATATATTTTATATAATATCATGAAAATACATGATGTTAAGAATGGAAATTAGGAAGGAATGAAAGGTTAATATTATTTTAACTTGTCAAGATTATTTTTATTAAAAAGATATTATATTAAAAGAAAACTTAATGGGTGAATCTCAGAGACAGTATTGTTAACAAAGGCTAACTAGAAAGAAGTATGCTTGTTAAACATTCCTGTATATATCATCTGTACTATCTTCCAAACTTTTAAAAAAAAGGTGATTTCTTAATTTTCTCCATAGAAGGTAGGGTACTTTCTCTTTCGCTAAGTTATCTCCCTTTTTATCAGAGGTCCTGTTTTGAATATGCAAAGCAAGAATGAGAGAGTGACTTCCCATTAAGACACAGTAGAAGTTAGAAACTCTTAAAACTTCTAAACTATAATCTCTTTTTCAATGGGAAGAATAATTTTTTCTTTCCTGCTTTACATAGTTGTGAAGATGATGTTTGTTTGTTACTCATGATATGTGTGTTCCTTTTTTAAATTGATTTTTTTCTGTGCTTTATTTATGTCACAGTGGGATAGAGTTTTTAAAGCTCAAACAGAAGGCTATAGCGCCTACCCTGTACTGCCTGGTTTCTAATATTGTGTGCATGATGAAGTTTACAGGTGCTGGAGATAAATGAATGACACAAAGCAAGAATACTGTAATAATGTCAGTCTGTTACTGAAAGCCAAACTATATACCACTTGATACTTAATAGTAGTGTCCAGAGTACATTTTCTGTTGGTCCCATCGATGTGTATTATAAAAAAAGGAGCTAATGAATCTGATTGTAGATTTAGTAGCCTTTATAAAGGATTTTTTGTTCCATCTGTCTCTTTTGTACTATTACAAGTCACTAGGATATAAGTACAAAATTGAACAAAAGGTAAGACAAGGGTATGCAGATGCTAAATGTTTTTCAAAATGTCAGTCCATTCTGCAGAGGTCATATTTAGATTAATGAAATCTTGAATTCTTTCCGAAGTATTACAAGTAAAACTTTTGTTTCATCCTGAGAAGGAACACAGTGGCATGGCAGTAGCTCCTTAGAGTCTGTGAAGACTGTAAAATCTAGTCAAGAAAACCTCATACTTTGTAGATTTGGTCCCCTATCTTAGAGAAGAAACACAGGTATGAGATTTATTTTAATCTTTCTTGATGGTAAGAAAAACGAAATTCTTTCACACTTTTTTCCAGATTTTAACAGACAACTCTCCCAATGAGCAGAGCCTAAATAAAGTGTTTGATCTGTGTGTTGTATGTGGAGACAAGGCATCAGGTATTTACTTTTTTCTTCCCTTTTTTTTTTAAGATGGTGCAATTTTATGAAAGCAGTTTAAAATTCTTCTGAAGCTATATAACAGTTTGCATGCATATACATACATGTATACACACATGCACAAACAGAAAGGATACACTACTCTTTCAGTGGAGAATTACATTAAATGTTACTCTAATGTCCATGGGTGGGACCTATTTATTGTTGTTTTACATCATAAATTTAATGTTTTCTACCAGATAATTTTTGCCTTTTTTTCTTAGGCTGATACATTTTAGTTTCTATCATAAAAATTTGGCTGATAAAATTACTTAAGGAACAACATTGAGAGTTTTTTCTTTCTTAAAATAAGGTTGTGCAGTGAACTGCACAACTGCACAACTATTGTTGTCAGGTTCTCTTAAAGTGTATGAGAAACCTGTTCGTTATTTTACTTATGAAACCAGCAGGCAAGGGAGACTTTGCAAGCATATGAAAAAAGTGCTAATGTGAGATTTATGCAGGACAGTTAGTTATTTGAAGAACTGTTACTAAAATTGTAAAAATGCATTATAATTACAATTAAAAATAAGCTTAAGAATGGTGTATTCATATATTGCCACCAAAGTAGAGTTGTAAGGTAAGAGAACAAAAATGTTTTATGCACTACATTTTGTGCAATGATATTAAGAAACTGGAAAGAAGTATAGCAGGAGCAGTGCACTGGAGGATGTCTCACACATTCCTTTTGCATGTGTGCCTGCCATCAGGTGTTCCAGATCTGTCAGAGTTGGAATTACTGCCAGGGTGTCTTTTTTATTAAAGAGAGAGAGAGAGAGAGAACTACAAGGGCAGTTCCTTAGCATGGTTTAGCTGAAAGCTCCTTTTTCTTTATACTTTATTTGTTACAAGTAAGAGAGATGAGACATTTAACTTTGCTTTTTGCTTACCTACCTAAAATTAGACGAAATAGGGAAGTGGTTGCTCCATCAAAAGATTCTTATGGTTTGTCAATTAAGTCTGTATGATCAACCTCCAATAATATCAAAATTATGACAACTGCAGTTAAATGCTCCTTCTGGAAGTGATGGGAGTGAAGTGTATGAAAATGGGGGGGCAGGGGAAAGAAGTAATTAATGTTAGGATATCATAATAAAAAGTAGTAGGATGGGAGCAAACTTCCTAGAAAATAAACCCAATTAAAATTCTTCTACTGCAGCAAAGTTGAGCATTAAAAATATAGTTCCTAGAGCTCTAAATATGAATCAGACTTCAGCCATCTCAAAGGAAACTTCTGGCAAACATAAGGCAAAGATCTGGCTGGTCTGCTCCAATTGGCAAAACTCCTCTGGCTCCCCAGTGGAGGGCCAGAGTATTCCTTGAGAGGCTGGAGATCTCAGGAGCTGTTCCTCCTGTCCTGTCCCAGGGATATCGAGCAGTGATAGTGAATTTGGGGAGAGTGTCTTGTTTCCCTGAGCAGCTGCAGGTTCTGGGGAGCCTCCCATGTGAAAAACAGTATCATGCAAACTGCTTTGTGGTCACCTCGAAGCTTAAGTCCAAGAATCTACATAAAAGAGCAGGTGAAGAAGCAGCCCAGGCACTTGGCAGGATGGAAATTAAGTGTTCACAATCTAGCTGCTGTTAAAATGTTACGCTTAGTGATATTCTTTTAATATAAAATAAATTTTCATAAATTCCACATTAGGAGTGTTGATTGTGATAAAGGAATCTAGAAAACCTATCAGAATTTCTAGAAACTTCAGGCAGGCAAGATTCATGTATCTGAAAAAAAGTTTGTGAGGAGTGAGGAAAGAATCTAAAAATAGATTTTCCCTTACATTAGTTCGTATTTGAGATTTATTACAGAAATATGCCCTAGTTAGTTCAAAGAGCAGCCTTGGTGCCTCTGCAGTATGTATTTTGAGTATTTGTCAGTGATCTTCAGGTTTAGAGTTTTTTTTTTCTTCAGAATCATAGAAGTAAAATTCTTGGAATTGCCAAGCATGCCTTAATCAAAACCAGTACTTTTTAGTAATATTTGTGTTTTGTGCTATAGCAGAATCAAAACAATTAACTTCTGAAAGTTAATTTTTAAAATAAATTTTAAACTTAACTTTTTTCTGTAGTATATCCTAGAAATTTGTATATGTTAGAAAATTCACAGAAGAACTAATTTTCTAAAAAACCTATTTAGCTATTTTAGATTATTCTCTCATTCAAGTTTGACTGGAAGAACTTAGAATGTACCATTACCCTGTTAGGAAAATGAAAGGTGAAAGTAAAGCTTTGAAGTGATTACCTACTGTTTGAGCTTTCCATTGGTTCCATTAGATTTAATGCACACAATTTTGACAGCTGCATTTGTAATGAACAATAACAGGGCTTGGCTGTAGGGACATTTTAAAAAAATTGCTAAAGAATGTATAAATTAAAAGAGTTTCTTCTGTGTTCTTGCTAACCTGTTTCCTCTAGCTTTTTTTAACATTGCTGTCAACAGATTCAGCAAGAATTTTATGAGCAACTTACCTATTTGTAAAATTTGTCCTTTTGAACTAGAAAAATGGTTCACTTGCTTTTTTATGTTGTTTTGTAGCCACAAGATGTTTTAAGATCTGTAACCAATGGGGGGAAAAGTGTTCTTTTTCTGGGTAAAATAGCAAATACTTTTGTTTTTAATAAATATAAACTCTAAAAATATAATATTACAGTGTAAAATTAATGTTGTGATTTATGTTGTTCTGTGTCTAGGGCGTCACTATGGAGCAATAACTTGTGAGGGATGCAAAGGCTTCTTTAAAAGGAGTATACGGAAGAATTTAGTTTATTCATGCCGAGGAACAAAAGACTGTGTCATTAACAAACACCACCGGAATAGATGTCAATACTGTAGGCTGCAGAGATGCATTGCATTTGGGATGAAACAAGATTGTAAGTCTCCATAAGTGTAGCTGGCAGCTTCTACAAAAGATGTGCTTTTTATTAATACAAATTGTTCAGTTTTTCTATGTGTAAATTAAGCTATTAAATGTTTTGAATCTTTCTATCTTCTTGTAACTTTTTTCACAGGTGAGATTGTTGACAATTTCTATTCACTCTCGGCAAAGCTCTGCAGAGACAGCTATTCACAAGGCAGAGATCCATAGTGATCTTGAGTTCAGTTCTTACAGATTCTTGCAGTTTTCAAGTTCCTTTTTAGATTTACATGTATTTGATGTAGTGATATTGCAATACCACAGCAGTATCAGAATACTAAATAAGCAGAAAATCAAGCAATAGATGAATTCTTCAGCCCTGATACCGCCACACTGTTGCTATACTCACAGTCTTAGTCTTGTGCTCAGCTCTCTGCCATCCAGCAATATTTTGCTGACCCTCCTGAGCCTCTGTGGACATTCCCCTCCTTACAGCCTTGCTTCTGTCAGCAGAAGCCAGTAACACTTTTCCAGCACAGAGGAAATGAATTCAGAAAGGGAGGAAAAGCTGGGGGGTTAAAAGTGGATCTTTACCCCTTTACCCTCTAGTTCAGCTGGCAGTACTTTGGCCCCTCCACAGAAGAATTTTCAAGCAGACCAAAATCGCTGGGTTTGGGGGTCAGAAGGCAGGAAAAGGATCTCTCGGTCATGGGGGAATACTGAGCGGAGGAGAAGATTGTTTTGGGATAAGAAGTCTCCTTCCTCAGTGGAAGGGGGAAAGGAAAGAAAACTCAGCACCATCTTGTGCTATTGCTTCCTCAATGGGGTTATTTGTCCCTTGAAGAAGTCTTGACCCTTTCTTAGCAAACTCAGATCCAGCTAGCGAGCACGGAGTTAATGAAGGAAAAGACTTTTGCCTCCATCTCCCAGCCTTTCAAAGCACCATTTGTGGGTTATGGGCTAGCTTTAATGGCATTGTCAATACTTGATGATATTATGACTTTTGGTTTTATGGTACTTATTAACGTAAAAATTCCAATATCATCACAGTCCCGTACTAATTTCAAGGCTTTTCAATTTTTTCTTCAGTTAAACATTTTCCAAAACTGCATAATTGAAGAAAAAAAAGGTTTTTTCCTATTTGCCTTTGCATTTTAATATAATGAACATTCAGGATTCTCTTTATAGGCTTAAACAGTTTCTATGTCCAGTAAATACTGAAGAGGCTCTGCTAGCTAGTAGCTAGTGCTTATCAGGCTGGTGAATTGATGCATATTTTAAATTATGTATAGGCCTGGTTTGTGACTCTTTCAGTATCTTATTCCAATGTATAAAATTACTTGCACCACTTTAAAATTGTGGAAGAATAACTTACTGCATGTTTTTAAAATATTTGTCTTTGTAAATACCTTTTATTAATTAAGTTTTACAGTAACAGTGTTTTGTCATTGTTACATTATTTGTCCAGAAATTAAATTTCCTTTTAAACTTTTAAAATCAAACTGTAAACTGGTTTCTTTTAGCTTTATTCCATAGAGCTAGAGAGTTCCCCATAGGGTATAATACTGTAAGTTTCATTTTAATGGTCTCTAATTGATCCAAAGCAAGGTGATATATCTGTAGGCTGACGCCCAGATTCATTCCACCTAGTTTCACAGAGCTATTCAAATTAAAAATCTTATTCTCTGAAGTCAGTGATTCTGGGTCAGGATGTTGCCTAGATCTTAAATGGTCTGAATTGAACTTTGTCAATGTCCCTTTCCCTCTCTATTGTCAAAGCTTCTAACTTGGGAAGCTTCTTTAAGTGCATGAGGTTATGTGGGTTCAACCCAGACCCACAATAAATGGAAAAGGGTGCCATGAGTCCTTTAGGAATGAACTGAGAGTGTGGGATGGTGAAACTGAGAAGCAGGAGCTGTAAGCCTCCACTTAAGGATACAAATTAAAAGTAAGTCGTAAGGGGATTTTTCCCTTATTTGCAACTTGAAAAATTCAGTGTCTATATGTTTGGTCTCAGACTTTGACTACAACATTATTTCATTAAGAACAAATCAAATCGGTGTGCTGGTTTTTACCTGAGTTGTTAGCCTATTGGGTATGGGATTTTTTTTTTTTTTTTTAGTTGCATTCAGAATTATTATTAAAAGTGCATTAAATAAAAAGAGGAAAAAGGATTATTTCTTGGTCTGTAATTTGGGATGCGACTTCATAGTTGCATATTGTTTTGTTAGCTGTGCAGTGTGAGAGGAAACCTATTGAAGTGTCAAGAGAAAAATCTTCAAACTGTGCAGCTTCCACAGAAAAGATCTACATTCGTAAAGATCTTCGTAGTCCATTAGCGGCAACTCCAACTTTTGTAACAGACAATGAAACAGCAAGGTATGTAAAGTCTACTCAGAAGCAGCTATCTCTGTTTCCTGAAACAGGATAAATTAATTTTAAAATTAATCAAAATTAATGTGTGCTGTTTTGTGTCAGATCAACAGGTCTGCTGGAATCGGGAATGTTTGTTAACATTCATCAGTCTGCAATAAAAAGTGAGCCTACTGTGCTGATGACTCCAGATAAGGTATATGATGATATGGCTGATACATTGAGTTGATTGCTGTAATTGTGTATGTAGGAGGGAAGGGTGTTCTGTTTTGTTGCACTTCTGTTTTGTTAAGTTCATTTTTGAAACACTCCTTTAGAACATTAGCCAGTGTTGCAAATGCCTTGTCTTCACAAGAATGCTTCTAGCCTTGCATAGTAAAAATTCTAAAAACTCTAAAAGTAAATGCCTTCCGCTGTTCTTTGAGAGAGCTTGAAGGGCTGCATTATTTTTCTTTGTTTTGGACAGTCCTGACACTTGGATATTTCTTTTGTACCAAAAGAGTGATGTGTTTGCAAAAACTCACATGCCATTATCACGGTGCGTTTCATAAATACTGTTAGGTTTTTTTCCTTTGAATCACTAATTTTTTTTTTTGCAAAGCTTGTAAGAACTATCTCAGCAACCATTGCATTTCTGAGCTGGTTTCCCTTTGTTTCCATTTTGTTACACTTACTGATCCAATAAAGCCATGTGATAACTTCCCTATGCATGCACAGTAGGAAGCTTTTGTATTTTTCTAGCTGATATTAAATGATCTCATGCTGTTTTCATGCATTTTACCTTGCTTGCTCTGTCTGCAAAGAACCACATCAAAAGTAGTTTATTCCACTTCATTTTTCTGGCTTTATCTGTAGAGTATGACAACATAAGCTAAATGACATGTAGTGTGCTGGTGTTAGCAGCAGCATACTTGTCTTTAGTCGTGCACTTTCCTTTTTTTTTTTTTTTTTTTTTGTGGAGCAGGGTGGGAAACGTGTCTTAGTGCCTTTCTGAGTTGCTGATGACTACTGAATCACCTTGTTCCCTTGCAGTTAAATAAAGACATAAAAACCAAAAAAGCTGCAGCAGAATTCTTTTTTAGCTCACTTTTAAAGGTGACTTTTTATCCATTCCTTCTTTTCAAACATTCTCCTACCCTATTACTACTGACTCATTTACACGAGGAAGGAAGGAAGATGCTAAAAATATGATCTAGTGCAGTCTTATAGTCCTGGTGACTGACTAGTGAGTGGAGATGAGAAATTCTCTTTCTGCACTTGCTTACCATCTGTAGCATTCTTTCTGAAAGAAACAGATAGCTATTACTTGTAAAAGTAAATGTCTAAATATTTCATATTTCAGAAGCAGTGCAGTGTCTAATTGCTGCATTATGATTATCCATTTACTGAAAACAGTAATTTTCTTACAGGTCTATTCACACACTCAATCCTTCATTTGTGTGAAAGTTAGATTCTTCTACTGCAAATTAACTGCTGCCAATATGAGAGAATTAAAGACTTTACTTTTCCCTTAGGTTGAAGCATGTCAAGGAGATTTAAGTACGCTGGCAAATGTGGTGACTTCATTAGCAAATCTCAGTAAATGCAAAGACGTGTCACAAAGCAGTACAGAGTTGTCTATGATTGACAGTTTAAGTAATGGAGATGCATCGTTATCTGAACTCCAGCAAGAACAAGAAGCTAGTAGTGATGTTACAAGGTAAGGCATGTTACATTTGAAAATATAGGTAATTTAACTGCATTAAAAATAACAGCCTGAGCTCATGTAAAAGAGAAATCTTGTAAGATTCTTCCAAGTGAAATCATAAGGAAATTCCAATTGAAAAATAAATACTTTCCGTTGTTTGTACTTGAAAATAATTTCAATGTAAATCTCACAGCTGATTTTCTTACCTTTTGGTTGTCCTTAACATGTCTTAGATCTTGTACTATAGTCTAAGGATTTTGTATCATCCTAGAAAAGTGTTTGTTCGAGATTTCACCTGTGTAAGTAGTTTAATACCTGTAACTATTAATTGCCTTAAAAGCTTGAGAAGCATTTTCTTTCTACACAGAACTCACAGAATTCTCACTGTTAATACAAATACATTCATTGAGTATCTTACAAACTTGTGTCTTGCACTGGTTTTAACTGAGACATTTTTGCAAGCATATGTGTGAGATATTCTTTGTAGAATGTACTCGGTTATTCTGTCAGTCACAATCATATTCTTCCTTGGTTGTCATCTCATGCAAGCTTCTGACAACTGTCCCAGCAATATTCCTTTACAGACCATCTACATTGTACGTGCTGTTTTGAAAATGTGTATGTGGAATAAATCCATCAAGGAAAAAAAAGATTAGTATATAGTGAAGTAGTTTGTACTGCTGAAATATATGATTTCCCCTATAGACTCTCCTGCTTTGTATAATTGCAAACAGAACACATTTGTTCTGCTCCTTTCTTTGTATGCTGCTTAGAAAGTCAATATGGCACGCTGAGGGTAGGAGTGGATTCGACAGTTCAGCTCAAGTGCATCTACACTAATGCACGCAGTATGAGCAACAAGCAAGAGGAGCTGGAGGCCATTGTGCAACAGAACAGCTATGACCTAGTGGCCATCACAGAAACATGGTGGGACGAGTCTCATAGCTGGAGTGCTGCAATGGATGGCTATAAGCACTTCAGAAGGGATAGGCAAGGAAGGAGAGGAGGTGGGGTGGCTCTATATGTTAAGGAGTGTTTTGATTGTATAGAAATTGAGGATTACGATGATAAATTTGAATGCTTATGGGTAAGAATGAGGGGAAGGGCTAACAAGGCTGATACCCTGCTGGGAGTGTGTTACAGGCCCCCCTCCCAGCAGGAGGAAGCAGATGATCTATAAGCAGCTGGCAGAGGTCTCGAGATCTCTCCCACTTGTTCTTGTGGGAGAC